GGTGGGTAGAGGGGTTGGGGGATGAGGCAAGAGCTCTGAATTCCACTCTGATTTACTGAGAATTTCAGGAAAAACTGGTTTGGCTCCGATGGACTGAAAACAAAGATGAACTGGAGGTCAAAGGCAGGGGAAGGGGGCCTGTGACATGTCTGTAGAGAGAACTCACCTCAATGCATAAACCCTCTCTGAGTTCAGACCTGTGTCAGGCCGTGAGGATGCTAAGATGAGCCAGAAATGGATTCAGTGTTTGAAGAGCTTGCCATCCTGGGGGAAGGCAGGTCAGATAGCATTTCTCAGAGCTGGACAAGGCTCGGGCCCTCAGGAAAGGGAAACATTCTTTCGTGGACCTTGGAGAGACCTCAAATGCCAGGGGGGGAAACCAGGATGCCTCCCCGTTGTGGGACACCACTGTGAAATGAGCGTTGCTTTAGAAGCAGTCAAAACAAATTTTTTTTTTTTAGATCAGCATTAAATCTAAACACAGACATTTAAATTCTATTAGAATCCCTTGGCCCCTGAAAATACATCTGGGACCTCCCCATCCCGGGGTGTGCAGGTGCAGTTGGAGAAAGTGTGAGATATAGCCCTAGAGCTGGTGCCACAAAGAAACTCCAAACATTCATTAAGTCCAAGGCCACGGTGCACTCACTTTACATACATTAGCTCATGGCTTCCGGAAGTCTCGCTGAGCCTGCTCCACCTGTGCAAGACCGCACTGCCATGTGTAGGACAGCAGCCCCATCACAGCCATTCCTGCCTCCAGTCTCTTTAACTCAGTTCACCCGCCCACTCCCTGTCAGTTGCCGATTATCTGACCGTGCCATACTCCTGCTCAGAACCCTGCCATGGCTCCCCAGTGCCCTCGGGTTACAGCTAAACTCCTTAGCTGGCACCCATGCCTCAGAGCTGGCTTCCTCTGTTCTTGAGCCTCAGCCCTCACCCCTGCCTTATGCTCTTAGCTTCCATCTAAGACAAGGTGGCCGAGGGGTCCTGACTCAGCTTCCAGGCTCTCCCTACCTCTCCCCTACTCCTGCCACCGGCCAGCTTTCCTTCAGGTGATCCTCATTTGTCAAACTCTCCTGGCAGATGCTTCTTTGGCTGCTGCCACAGGGCAAGCATGTAGATTTGTTTTCTACCTGCAACAGGACTTTGTAACTGAGGCAGCCATATCCTCCCAGGTGGCACCTGCTTTGCCTCGCAAAATTCAGAGGCCTCAACTGACTCCTGGGGTGGCCCTAGTGCCGAAGAGTCCCACCTGTTCTGTATTTGGGGTTCTCTGAGAATGGGCTGCATACCCATTCTCCAACTCCAGTCGGAGCATGAAGGGACTACGAGAGCATCCTGCTCTCCCCTCCCCTGCTTCTTCTCACTTGCGGATGGGAGCAGGCAGAAGCCCACAGAGGCTGAGAGACCCGGGGGCAGTCACAGAGCTGGGACTAGGACCTGGGCGTCTTGACTCCCGTCCAGCACTTTTCTCATCCTTTCAGTCCTCTCCACTCCTGACCGAAATGTGATCGTCACCATGTTTGCTCTGCCTGAACCATGAGGGAGTTGGGTGTGCAGATCACCCTTGAAAAACTGCATCGCTGGTGGGAGCAGGGTACCAAACCTAGACTATCAGTCCCGTTTCACAGGGGATCAGAGAGGTCAAGTGCTTTTCCTAAGGTCACACAGCTAGAAAGTGCCAGAACTAGGACACGAATCCAGGTCTTTCTGAACCCAGAGCTCATGTCCAGAAGGTATGGACAGTTTATGGGGCCTGCCTGAGAATGAGGCACGGTCACAGGCTGTGCTCCTGACATGAATATTTTGGAAGCAACTGATAACACGAGAACACTCCCTTGAGAGGGTTCTCTCAGGGTTCCCTGCTGCCAGGGCCAGGGAGAAGCCAGGCTCTCTGCCCAGCCCTGGGATGCCTGGCAATGCCTCCAGGAACCAGGCTTTGGCCAGCCCACCCTGCCCTGGCCATAGGCTCTCTGGGACAGAATGCTCAGAGGGCTGCCATCCTGGGCTGGAGCTGAAAATTAAATTAAAACCACGACAGGGACAGTTAATTAAAGCAGATTAGCGCGAGACTAATTAGGGACACTGACACTGGAACCATCGCACTCCAAGATGTTAATTAGCTGTTCATTAATGTCAGCTCCCTGTTCAAGAGAGAAATATGAACAACCCTTCTCCGGGGCTTCATTCCGGAGCTAAGTAAACAGGGGCGGCTGCCCAGTGGCAGTCCCAGCCCCCACCCATCTTCCCTCCCTCCCTCTGGCTCTAGTATCTGCCCACTCCTTTTGTCTCCCTCCTACATCAGTTTCTGAGTATTGGCACCTTGACAGAGAGACCCTGGACTCACGAGAAGGAAGAGCTCAGCTAAGGCCCAACACACAGAAGCTTTGAAAGAAAGGCGGCTTATCTGCTCTCCAAGCCAGACTTGCACACAGGGAACTCCTGTCCCAGCCTCATCACACTCCAGCCTGGGATAGATGGAGGTCATTTTTATTCCCTCCCTCCAGTGCTTTCTTCCTTCCTTCCTTCCATCCATCCATCCTTCCATCCATCCATCCTTCCATCCATCCATCCTTCCATCCATCCATCCTTCCATCCATCCATCCACCTATCCACCCACTCATCCCTCCATGCACTTACCCTTCCATTCATCTATGCATGCATGCATCCATCCATCCATCCACCTACCCACCCACCAATCCCTCCATGCACTTACCCTTCCATTCATCTATGCATCCATCCATCCATCCATTCATCCATCTACCCACCCATCCCTCCATGTGCTTACCCTTCCATTCATCATCCATCCATCCATCCATCCATCCATCCATCCAACCAACCAACCAACCAACCATCCATCTACCTATCCATTCACAAATCCATCTACGGTCCATCCAGTCATATATTCATCATATTTTACCTATCTACTAATCTTTTTATCAAAAACCCACCTACTTATCCACCCATCCATCCTTTCCTTTGTTGATCATGCATCTAGTCATTCATCCAGACGTTTGTCCATCCATTCACTCTATTAACCCATCCATCAACCAACCCTCCTATCCACTAATTTATCCAGGTATCCAATGACCCTACCAATACTTCTACTGAATCTTCACATACAGCAGTCACTCGCCATCATTCATTCATCTAAACACTGATTCTTCTGTCTACCTAACAAATCACCCATCCATCCATCCCTCTCATACATATCTACTGAACACTTACTATGCGTCAGGTACTATGCAAGGTACTAGAGAGGGAATACAGATATGAAGAATAGTGTAGACAGTTGGATCCCTACTCTCACCCCCCACATTACAGATGAGAAAACCAAGATTGAAAGAAGTGAAGTTACTTGCCCAAGGTCATTCATCAAATTATTCATCCAACACTCATTCAATTAATATTTATTGTATTGCCTGCCTATTACATATCAGTTGAAGATACAGTGACAGATGCAGTTCCTAACTATAAGAGCATCATAGTCTAGGGCAGTAATTCTCAAGAGAATTTGATGAAAGTTATTACAGCTGCTCCCCCAAATGTACATATTCATATATAGAAAACATTTTGTGAGTGACTTTACTAAGTTTATAAACCTCCTAAAAGCCCATCTCCATTCCTCAGATCAAGATCCATGGTGATGGTTGGGGAGACACACAAGTGACTAGAACACCAAAGTAAATAAACGCATAAGTGAATAGAACATCCCAGTGTTCTATACATTATAATACAGAAGTAGAAGGCATCAGTGAAGGCTTCCTGGAGGAGGTGATACCCAAGTTGAGTTGTGAAGGATGGGCAGGATTAGCTGCATGGAGGTTAGCTAACCTCTGTTTGCATGTTCTATTGTGTGCACAAATCTTAGAGAAGTGAGGCAGCTGAGGGTGCTTTCGGGGAACCATGTGTATGTGTGCAGGGTGGAGGGGCGTCTGTATGGCTGGGGTGTGACTGGATCCTACTGTGTACAGAGGATGTAGCAGAGTTAAGATTTGGATCCAGGTCCCCTGCCCAGTTTCCTATGAAACAATAAGGACATGCCTCGGGCCCTACTTTTGCTCTTGCTCTGGGACTAGCTGGGGTACATATAGGCCTTAGTGATTTTCAGCTTGGGACTGGGTCCTGACTATTGCCAGACTGTTCCCTGGAAGCCTCTGGGCCTGCCATCCTCTGCCAGGTAGAGGGGGCTCTCTTCTAAACATGAACTCAGCGATGTGGCTCTGTGGGACGGGTCCTCCCTCATCCTGGCCTCCATATGAGAGTGGGAAGTGGAAAGGAGAGGTGTAGGGCTTTGTGGGTGCTGGGCCTGGAGCTATGCTGGAACCAGCTGAGAGTGGGCCAGAGTAGGGCATGGCAGGCACTCTGGGAGTCGGTCCAGGATCTGGCCCAGAGGCCGGTATATGCCCTGCCTAGTGCTGGTTTCCGTGGGCCGATTCGGCCTTCTCTTTTTCACTCACTCCATCCTTTCTCTGTAACAGCAGGCACCTGGCTCCAGACTAGTATCCCATGAGGTCAAGGTCACAACACTGGTTGGCCTTATTAGAAGCAACTAGACATTCCCAGAGGAGCTCGAATTTAGGAGAAAAGACCTGGGTTCAAATCATGCCTCTGCCATTTAGGGATGACATAACCTCGAGTGAGTCACCTTACTGTTCTGAGCCTCAGCTGTGAAATAGAGATAATGATATTGCCACTTCTGCTTTCACTACCTGCCTTTATTTTTAAATTTCTTTTTAGCTTTGTTCAGTAGGCCTTTTCCCATCCCATTACCTTTGATCCTTCATCATTTTGCTTTTTTAAAGAGCAGGAAGCTGGAATTATTCTATTTTTTAACCCTAAGAATCATTGTCTATTAATAAGGAGGTATAGTCTATTTACATTTATTGTAGTATGGTAACTGGTACATCGTAAATGCCTAACAAATATTATTCTTTTCTCCCAGCTTCATCCAAGGATGTTATCCATTACTCCTCATCCATGATCCATTGCCCCTTCCACAGTGTCCTCCCCTCTCACAAGTACTGCCTTAGAGCCTCATAGGCAGAAGAATATGAACTTCTATTAGCACTAGGGTTACATTTGCTAAGCAAAAGCTGCCCTTAGCTTCCGAGTACCTCATAAACTGACTGTCAGAGCAGAAAAGACCTTCAAGATCCTCAGATCAGAATAGCAAGGGCCAAGGTCAGACACCTTTAGTATAGATGTTAGGAACAGAATAAAGACTTCCGTTACTCAACCCAGGGGCTAAAAGCAGCATCCAAAGTGCCACTAACCCAAGGCCCAAGAAAGGGAGAGAGGAAAATGGAAAAGTGAGAGGAATAATCCAAGAACCAGAAAAAGTCCCAGAATATTGGAGGGACAGAGGATGTTGTGCCAAGAGCTTGGGTTTTATTACTAAGACAAGCTTCTGAACTTGGCTCTGCCCCAACTTTCTGTTCAATCCTGGGCAAGTTATTTCCCCTCTCTGGGCCTCAAGCTCCTCTTCTGGATACCAGGAAGCTGGGCTTGGTGACTCACCAGACTGCATTGTAAAATTCTGTCTATACATCTAGAGGGTCATTTTAGAGTGATGCTAATAGAAGTCACTGATGATTATCCCAATATCTGACCTCTCCTCATCCCTTAATAATAGCCCCTGATGTTAGGCTGGGTATATGGCCTCCTTGAATGAAGTCTGCATTTCCTGTTTGTCTTGCAGATGGATATCATCATGTGATTTAGTTCTGGCCGAGGAGATGTCAGCAAAAACGGTAGGTGTAATTTTTGGGACGTGGCCTTAAAAGAAAGGCGCATGTCTATCTTTATCCTTTCCTCTTTCTTGCTGGCTGGAATGTGGATGTGATGGCTGGAGCTCTAGAAGCCAACTTAGATCGTGAGACTAAGATAGAAGGAGCCTCGGACCTTTGTGTTTGTGAAGCCTCAATATCAGCTTTGGACTTCTTACATCTGGACTTCATTTAGTTGAGAGGGGACTAAACTCTTATCTTGTTTAAGTCATTGTCATTTGGTTTTCTGTCACTTGCAATACCATCAGGAACAGATGATTAAAAACACATGCTGTGGATTCAAATATACCTAGTTTGAATCCAGTTCTACCACTAACAATCTGAGCAATCTTATGCGAGTCACTTAACTTTTGAGTCTCAGTTTCCCAATCTGTGGAATGGTTATAATAATGTCTACTACCCAGCATAGTTCTAAGGAGGAAATGAAATATAGATGTAAAGCTATTGACACAGTCTCTGATTCATAATAAAGGGCTCAGTAAATAATAGCTATTGTTGCCATTATTATTATTATCATCAGCTAATCTCTTCCCTGGGAGCTCTGTGAAAGCTGTGACTCCTACAGTTTTCTGGCTTTTAGGGGAATCATCGTCACTTTATATATATGACACTTTGGGAGGTACATGTAAGAATGGGAAGACCAAAGCTTTGATGCCAGAAAGAGCTGGGTTCAAATTTCAACTTTACCATTTACTAGTTGTGTGATCTTAGCCAAGCCTTGCCACCTTTTTGAGCCTGCCTCATTGTTTCTCATTTTTTTTCCCTATGGCTGTTGATGCACATCACATTAGGGTTGCTGCGAGGTTTCAACCTGGTAACCTCAGGAAGGGCCTAGGGTGGGGTTACTGCTGGACAAATGAGTGCTGTGGCTTGTCACTTCGGAAATTGTTGAATAGAGAATACAGGACTGCTGTGGGTATACGCAGCCTGGTCTCAGCTCTTCTGGAGAGTAAAGTCATGCTATCACTCATCTTTTGGCCTAACTGCCCCTGAGGGGGTGGTTAGGATGCAAGGAGGAAAACCAAGGCTCCATTAAAAAAAAAAAACAATCAATTTGCAGCAATCCAAATAAAAGTCATTAGACTGGTTTCCCCACCAGAGACACCCAGAGGCCTCCTCCCCACCAGGATCCCAGGAAATTGATTGGCAATTACTGACACTAATGGGGGCCAGAGAGGCCTGGTGATTTACCCATCACTCTCTGGGGACAGTGATGACACGTCAAGATCTGTCAGGCTGAGTCCATCCTGGGGCAGTCGAGACCCCAGATCTGGCCAGAGACGGGGCAGCCAGCTGAGGTCAAGCCCCCTTGGGGCCCTCGCCCTTTTACTTATTTATAGCTTCGTTTGACTCATGGTGAGTTAATGGCTCTACTGGGGCTGTGCAGATGGTGGGTCCCCTGACAGGAGGATGGGTAGGGGGACTGGGGAGGCTCTGGGCCTGCCCTTCGACCTGGATCTGGAGTTGTATAAAGGGGGCCTCAGTCTTCACAGTAAATCTGGAGGCAGAAAGGGAGAGAAAGTGTCACCAGAGAGGCCCAAACAGAGGTTGTGAGAAGTGGTGGCTGGAGACGGGGTTTCAAAGATACAAAGGCCAGCAGCGAGCAAGGAATCTTCTGGGAGTTCAAGCCGTGGAACTAAAGGGCTAATAGGGCCCTGCGAAGTTATCTAGGTCAGTCTTGACTTATTGCTTGGCGGCTAAGGCACAGAGACGGGGAGGCACTGGCCTGCAGTCTCACTGTGCAGCCCTGGGAAAGCTGGGACTCGAACTTGACTAGCTGTCTGGTGAGTTGGGAAGTGAGATTTACCCTGAGTCAGGAGGAGCTGGAGTGGGGTGAAAGGGACATTCGCTCTCACTTACTGGGGCCATTTCTGAGCTTGGGCATGGAGACCCCACCTAGTGGGTTGGGAGACGTGTTAATAGACAATGACTATTCAGAGGGACAGCTGCTGGGACAGGGTGTGTGAGGAGCTCAGGGTGGCCGATATTCCAGTCTTGGGGAGTGGTGGTTAAGGAAGGGTTTCCGAAGATGACACCAAAACCGAGACCTGAAGGATTAATGGATGTTAGACAGATGGTGAGGAGGAGGATGAAGAAAGAAGGGAATTCTAGGCCCCAAGAACAGCATGTACGCAGGCTTAGAGGTAGGACCACGCAAGCACATGCAAGCCGAAGGGCGGCTGGAGGCCGAGGGGTGCTAAGGGAAGAAGAGGCCGGGGCCCAACGGCGATGGGCCTGCCTCATAGGATGGGATGGAGTTTGAGGTTTGTCTCGTGTGCAATCAGAATGTGTCTTAGGTAGACACATACCATGGCCAGATTTCCATTTTAGAAAGATGGTAGTGGAACTGCCAGAGGGGAATGGATTGATGGAAAAGGGGGAAGGCGGGGAACAGTCAGGAGGCTGCTGCACAAACCCAGAAGAGAGACGACAAGGCTTGGACCAAGACAGGGAAGTAGGGTGGCCTGAAGAAGAGATGACTTCTCAGATATTTAGGAGGGAAATTAAACAGGATTGGTGTCTGCTGCATGGCAGGCACAAGGGTGAAGGAGGACTGGAGGATGACTTGGGGGTGAGACTGAGGGAACAGACCATGGGGGGCTGGCCAGGTATACTGGACTTGAGGGATTGAAGAGATGAGCACAATGACCTTGAATGCAGACAGGCCACCTGGATCAGAGAAAGGTAAAAGGGAGGTGATAGACTGAGGCTCAGAGAGGTTAAGTGTCTTATCCAAGGTCACACAGCCAGGAGGGGCCCAGATGGGTTTAACCCAAAGCCCACACATTTCCTACCACTCGAGCTGCCCTTTAGGGAGAAGATCAAAGGGCTGGGCCCTCGACACTCAGCAGCTCCACATCTTGTGCCCTGACCATCTGTCCCCACTCCCACTCTAACCCCAGGAAGTTTGAGGCTGGGTTTCTCCGGTGAGGGATGGGGTAGACAAAACCTCAGGCCGGCCCATCTGTGGCTACGGGTATGCCATCCTTTGGCAGATGGGCAGTGAGAATGAGACCACTCCAGTCCAGAGTTTAGGCTCCTGAGAATTCAAGCCAGCCAGGAAGAGGGTGGGGAGAGGGCGGTTTCCCATGCCCAGAGTGACCATGGGCACCAGGCCCACCTTGACCCTGCTCGTTCTGAGCTCTAGCAGGATGAGGCTAAGCATGAGTACCTTCTGGGGAGGTGCTTCCCCCGTCCTGTCAAGGAGCACCTGGATCAAGCACATTCTAAGCCCTGATAATAATAGCTCAAGAGCCAAAGCCCCACGAGCAGAGCACAGAGAGGGCTGGAGACAAGGCCCTGAGTGGGCATTATGAGTAGGAAGGAGCCCGTGGTTGTGTGTGGGGTGGGTGGCCACAATCTTCTGTATAACTGAAAAAGCAGCAGAATATTCTAGCAATTGCATGGGCTCTGATCCTGGCCGGGATACTTTCTAGCTGTGAGACCCTGGGCGAGTCATTAATCCTCTCTGTAGCACATTTCATCTGTAAAATGGGGATAATATCAGCACCTGCCTCACAGGGTGTTTGCAAGGTTCCAAAGAGTTAACATATGTTAAAAACAAACCAACAACAAACTTAGAACAGTGAGTGGCACAATAATGTTGCTTGGTATGATGATGATGACAATGATAATGCCACAGGTGGCCCCATCAAATCTACATCATTCCGGCCTGGCCGGGACTGACCCTGTGGAGGGAGCGGGCCTGGCTGTATTTATTCTTGGCCCATTCCCACCCTTGGGGGTTGACTGTGGCATTGAGGGAAGCTGCCCACCTACAGTATCGATCTTCCTGTCTTCCAGAAGGCACGATGCATTTAGCGCATCAGTCAGCTGCCAGTAGATCACCTCAGCTGGCAGCCAGCCTGCCAGCCTGCAGCTCCGCAAGTGGGTCAGGGAGTTGCAGTAAAGCAAAACTTCCCAGACAGGTCTCTAGTATGGTCCGGGGCTCCACGGGTTGAAGCCCTCATCAGTGCCCTCACAGGAGCCTTGAACTGAGGTCCTGGTTTGGTGCCAACTTCCCAGATGACCTTAGGTAAATCACTCAGCCACCACAGGCCTCATCACTTTGGAGTTTGTATGCCTTGTTCTTATCATCACCTTATTTGACCCTCAACCACTCTGGGAGTCAGGCGGAGCATGGCTTATCATTTTTACTTTATAGAGGGGGGGAAACTGAGGCTCAGGAGGTCTAGCTATGAGCCTGCCCAAGGCCACACTGCAGATAAGAGGCCCAGCCAGGCCTTAGGTCTGTCTGACTACACCTATGACCATCCCATACTGGTATTGTGGGGAGTCACTAGGTAGCAAGAGTTTCAGCCTAGGAGCTAACAGACCTAGATAGTGGACTGTACCACTCTGGTCAGTGACATGAGCAAGGCAGTGGGGGCTAGAGGTCAAGGGGATCCAGGAAGGCTATGGTGTGCATGTGTGTGCACACGTGCATGCACATGTACATGTGTCAGAGTGGGAATAGGCATTCCAGATGGAGGGAATGGCAAATTCAAGACATAAGGTACAGGTGGGTATGGATAGGGTAGTTGAGCCAATGATGAGGCTGGAGGGAGGAATATGGGGAATGGTAGTGGAATATGAAAAAGGCAAAAGGCAGGACAGTACTATGACCAGAAAGGGCAGGACCAGTACTATGACAGTACTATGACCATGGGGGCATGTGCAGGTATGGGCTTTCTGGTTAACCAGGGCCTTCAGACCAGCCCATGGCTCCTCCCTCATGACAGGACATGGTAGGGATGGGACTCAGGGTCAGGGAGAGCTTGTCTGAGGAGGGCTGGCAGGCCAATTACTGTAGGTTAGGCTTCCACCCTGGATAGAGACCCCCAAATCCACTCCCAGGAGCAGTTGAGAAGTTGTTAATCAGCCATGGAGGGATGTGTTCTCTGACTAATCCCACGAACACCTGAGCTGAGGTGGTGGGGGTGGGGGGAGGTGGCCAGGTTTGCAGAAGAGTTGCTATTACCCCCATTTTACAGAAGGAGGTAAAGGGGGCCTGAAGAGGTTAAGTAATTGGCCTCGGGTCACATAGCCTGTGAATGGTAAAGCTGGGTTCCCTTTGCTGCCAACGCCCATACATCTTCTGCTCCTCGGAATAGCAGATGCCCTGATGGACTTGATGGCTTCACAGGCCGAGTCCTAGGAGAAAGCAGGGAGCACTCGCTGCCCGGAGCTCCGCCTCCAGTGCCACCCAGAGCTGTCGGCATGCTCTGGCCCCGTACCCCCACACCTCCTTGGGGATCTTCACCTGGGACCTCAAACCACTCTGGAAACCATGAACAACAGCCTTTGCAAAGCCAACAGATTCTGGAACATTTAAATCGTTTTTGGAGCCTCCAAACAGCTTCCAGGACTGACAAATTGCTTCCAAAATGTTCAAATGCCTTTGGAATCTTTGAACAGCCCCTGAGAGTTGGACCAAAATTGAAAGCCAAGAAAGGCTGGGGGCCAACATGAAGCTCAGGCCGTCTTCGTAGCCGGCAAGTCCTCCTCCGAATGTGGCCTGGCTACACCCTGGCCTTGGCCTGAAGTGGAGCCCAGTCACACCTCGGGTCTGACTGAGCAGCTTCATGGTGGCCTGGAATGAGCACTGGACTCAGAGCAGGGGGCAAAAAGGCTTTATCTGGCCTCCACTTTGATGGGTGACCTTGGGCAAATCACTTCTCTCTGGGCCTTGGTTTCTGCAATTACAAAATGGGATTTTGGGGTGAGAGTTTTAGGGAGTGTGGGTGTGCAGCCAGTCTCTAGGATTCAAATCCAGTCCCTCCTCCCCCACACTGCCTGGTTTTAGCCTATCCAGATCCCGAGGGTGGAGGGCTGGGGAAAGGCACACAGGGTGCTGAGAGAGGAGCCCCCAGCCCATGGGGCTCTGATGCCAATGAAAGGGACTTCATCTTTTCACTTTACATGGGACCTGGATTTAAACCCCCACCTCCTTGTCCTTAAGTGTCTCACGAAAGGCCTCTACGGGTGCCCCACTCAGCGTGGCCCTGGCCCCAGCACCTGGCAGCCTTCACGCGTGGTCACGGAGGGCGGTCGGTTTCAGCCACCCAGAGCCGTTTCCATGGTGACAGCCATGGAGCCGAGCCGGGCTTTTGAAGAACACTCATAAAGGCGCAAACTCACCCCAGATGAGCCAGCGTGCATTTGTGAGGCAAAATATCTCAGGCCAGCCCCGCGCCTTGTAAAGCACGGCTGCCAGTGGCTTTGGCTGGCCTGGCGAGGATGCTGTTTCTGGGCTGCTAGGATTGAGCTCCTGCTTCCTCACACTATCCTCGGGCTCTTCCTTGGCCCACCTACCCAACCTTGGCAGCTTTGGAAGTAGATGCACCACAGCTTCTTGGCTGTGTGACTTTGAGCAAGTTCACTCACCTCTCTGAGCCTCAGTGTCTTCATCTGTAAAGTGAGAATGAGGAGGATATAATAATGACATTTCACTGCCTGACTGAGAAATGGATAGAAAAGATAGCATGATACAAAGCAGATGCCAGTTCTCCTCCATTGACCTCTCCTTTTCAGCATCACCGCTGCAGAGGAGCATAGGGCCACCTACTCTTGGCAGCATCAGGGGCCCCTTCCTCCTGCTCCCACTGTGCCCTGAATGTCTACCTGCATAGTGCCCTCAGCATATTGAACTGCAATAGTCTATTTACTTGCTTCCCAAGCTTGAGTAACTGACACTGTGCACTATGTTCGCTAAGCCCAGCTCAAGGTTAGCGTTCAGTAGGTCCTCAGTAAATAAATAAGACCAAATGTATACACATGGTGACTATTCTTTCTGAACCTCAGACCTAGGGGTGTGGTCTAGGGAGTGCTGGGTCATATTTCAGGGTGGAAGGTGAAGGGGCTGGAAGTGGAATAGAATACTGGTACCTGATAGGAAGACCAACCATGGAGCCCCGAGTGCTCCTGTGCTAAGGGCTCTGGAGGTGAAGACCCTCTGACTTCTCTCATTGCAGCTTTCATTGTGCAGAAGGAAACCAAGTTCCAGGGGTTGAAGTCACTTGCTGAGGTCACATGGCCAGTGGACAGTGATGCCAGCACCCGTGCACTTTATCCAGGAAAATGTGGGCATGTCTACTCATCCACCGAGGCCTGTGGTGCCCGCTGCTGCCTTCTAGCTGGCCCTCCTACCACCAGCACCGATCCCAAATGTCAGTCTCTAGGTCGACCTCCTGTGGCATAGGCCCTTCATGTCTCCACAGGGAGCTAAACCACACCCTGGAATAGGTTTAGAGCTGTCCCTACCCTCAGCCTTTGATCTCTGAGTTGCCCAACTTCACCCCATTTCTCTTGATCACACCCCTAATGCCTCTCTCCTCTCCTCTATACCTTCATGTCAGGCTCCAAACTGTCTAAAATGTCCCACCCAGAATGATCCACTCCAATAGGAAATGAATGCCCCACAATGACAAAAGACCCTGAGTTTGAATTCTGGCTTTGCCACTTATGAGCTGTGTGACCTTTGACAAATTACTCAACCTATCAGAGCTTGGATTTCCCCATCTGAAAAACAGAAGGACCTGCTTGACAGGTTGTGAGGATGAAGAGAGTTGATAAGTGTAGATGTGCTTTGTAAACAAAAAAGTAGTAGGTAGGTGGTGGACATTAATTAAAGAACTATAATGGATTACAATATTGAACCATTATGTTAGTACCTAATATAATATGCCTAATTATAATAAATTACAAATAATTAATTAAAAGGGTACTACTAGATATTAGCTGCTGGCTAGGGGCTTGTGGATAATAGAAGAAAAACATAAAACGCAGATTTAAGTGCCTGTGCCCAGGGAGTATAGCCTGTAGTCATTCATCTCTTTTTCTGTCCATCCATCTAACAATGCATCAATCTGGCCATTCTGCCAACACTCACCCAACTCCTGCTGGGTACAGGGTGCTGGCAGAATCTCAGATGGGGTGAGCAGCAACTTTTCATTCCCACCCCTGATGAAGATGCTACTGTTCGTGGAGCCCTGCAACGCCAGGCTTGGCCCTAGGCCTCCTTTAATCCTCACAATTGTTGCACACCTGTTCACAGGTGAGGACACTAAGGGTCAGAGAAGCTGAGGCCAGCGACTAGCAACGTGGAACGTTCTTCTTACTTTGGTGCCACATCCCTCTCCTTCGCTGGCTGGGCCTGGACAGTCCTACTGCTTTCACTGGCAACACCATCGCATTCTCTACAGCCCCTGCTCCCAACTTCTTTCATTCTGAAAGACCGCCACCCCCGACTCAATCGGGTGGGTCTGGCACCTCTGAGCACCAACCTCACAACCCCTTCTCCCTCTGGTTTCCAAGGGCTCATAATTTCCATCTCCATCCGTTCCTTATGAATTTTCTTACAAAACGTGTTCCATGATTTCACCGACATCACTGCTGCCCACTACAAGTAGAAACTGATCGGAAAATCCCCAGGTGGGCCGGGGGCCCCCAAGAGGCTCTGGGCACCTCCCACCCTGACCCCCACAAGACTGTAGCTTCGAAATCTTCTCTCCCAAGCCAGGAAGGACTTCTGGGGCAAGATGACACTGACTGGTGGTGCCTAAATTCTCTAATATTTCACTTTCCTCCCAATGTTGGGAGAGGTTGGTGCCATGCCTGCATTTCACAAATATCCAGGGCCCAGAGGTGAACTGACTTGTCCAGGACCACACAGATAAGCGGGGCAGGGGCTGAGATTTAAGGTCCAGTCTGACTCTGCAGGCTCATTCCCCTTGGCCTCCTGTACACAGTTTTTGCCCTCTGTCCCCAGTGCCCAGGCAGGGTTATTTTTAGCCCCTTATCTCACCCAGGCCACCCACGAGGATGGACTGGCTCAGGAAAAGCCACATTGACAGTGAAAGTGAGGGGAAAAGGTGACATTCTGGTCTGAACATCCCAAGTGTGGCGGGCTGATGGGGCTGATGCTGAAGGGCTCTGTGGTCCTGATCGCCAGGGCATGAGGGGTCAAACCCGGGTCAAAGGAGAAGCAAAGTTCACAAGTGTTGGAGCTGAACTTGGCCCTCGGGGATCTCCTGTATCAGCAGTGCTCAAAGCACAGGATGGCTGGGCTCTTCCTCAGACCAACATGGAGCTAAGAACCATTCACCTATCCAACCCCCCTCATTGTACAGATGAGAAAATAGAGGTTCAGAGACGGCAAGGAACTCACTCTGAGTCACACAGCAAGTGGACTGTCAAGCTGAGACCAGACCCTGTTTGTTTCTTCCGACAACCCAGTTTAGGCCCTTGTCACCTTACCCTCAAAGGCAGAGAACAGGACATTTTAATAAGAGGCCACTTAGGGGCTGTCAGTGAGTTGGGTGGAATTGGGGAGGGGAATTGGGGGTTGCCAGGACCCCTGCATAAATATATACCCTATTTGGTAGGTCAGGATGTCTGAAAGTTCCCCATTTGAGCTTTTCCAGCCTTGGGGGTGGGATGACAGGGACTAAGTGACACCTCAAGGACGAGTAGGTGATGAGGAGTAAGATGGGGCCTGGATGGTGGGGGGCGGGGGGATGGGGAAGCAGAGAGGTTAGAAGATAAACTTTCTGCCTTGACAGCTCTGTTGGAGTTGGTTGTCACAGGAAGTCCTCGAACTCCCTGCCCCCATCCCACCCACTGGGAAACTCCCGAGAGGCAGAGCTTTTCTCCTCATTTTCTCAGAGAACTTTGGGAGGCAGAGGTTAAGGGCCTCTGGTTTGGTTCCTTCTTTAACTTTTGGGTAGAGCCTAAGGGTAGAGAAGAGACTTGCCCCAGGTCACAGAGTGAATTAGTAAAATGACCTTATTTGGGAGGTGGGGGAAGACAGATGGATTTGAAGCACATGGAAGACAGCAAGGAAAAGGTGACTCAGAGGCTGAGCAACCAGCTTACTCCCTCTTTCCCCCTCACCACCATGAGGCCAGGGAGCAGGAGACAACGCCAGAGGACCGGGGACCCCTACTGAGCTGGGCGGTTTCCTGCCATAGAATGGTGTTGGCAGCATCCGGGCTCCCGCTCCCATCTCCTATGCCTCCTCTTTTTGGCTGGTGCCCAGGTCTCCGGCACAAGAGTAACCCAGTCCAACCTGCTTAACCAGGCCTTCGAGGTCCTTTTCCATCTGTCCTAACCATCCGCTCTGCGTCTCCTACCCCACCCCAACGATCTCACCAAACATCACACTAAACTCTGGGCTACTTCCCTAGCACCTACAGCACTGCAGTGTTTATGCTGAATTCTCCCCCTGGAATACTCCTTGACCCATCTTTATCTGGCAGATTCCTATTCAGCCTTCAAAGCCCCAAACAAGGTTTGTTTCCTCAGTGAAGTCCTGCCCCATCTTCAGGACCGATTTGAACCGGTCAGACCTTCCTGGGCTCAATGTCTCGTACAGCATATACCTCTAACACTGAACTTCTCAGGGCAGGGAAGGGATCTCATACTCTTGCTCTTTTCTGTGCCTGGCGCAGAGTAGGTGCACAGCGCACCCCGGGTCTTCTCTTGCTACTGGCTCATCCTTGGTGCCTAACACAGTGCTATATATGCTCAAAGGCCGGGAAGGAAACTTGTTCAATGACAAGAAGCAGAAGCTTGGAGTCAGATAGACCGGCATGTAAATCCCAGCTCCCCTGTGTTACCTGAGAGACGTCTCTAACCTTGCTGGGCCTCAGTCTTCTCATCTATAAAATAAGAGTAACTATGGACACCTTGCAGAGAAAAGGTGAGGATTCAACAAGATAACTCAAGTAAGGAGCCTGGCACATAGTAAATGCTAAATAAATGAATATATATATAATATATATTATATGTATTAATATGTCATATATGATTAAGAATGAATAAATTCTCCCGTTCCCTGAAAACTTGTTCTCAGGCACTGATCCCTTGGAAAAACACCTTAGGAGGGTTTCCGTCTGATCTGTAGACATCTCTGCACCCCGGCCTAAGCTCCACTTAATTGTCTTGCTCCGAGGGTGCCGAGTAAATACTCCAGGCCAGCTGGTGCCTGGAAACCGCCAATTGCCAGGGAGCAGCTCGTTAATTTTCCCGTTTCTGCACACAGACCCGGCAGCTTCTGCAACTCATCTTGGGAAATTGAGTGGAGCGGGTCAGGCCGGGGCCAGGGGTCGCAGGAAGTGGGGCTGGGGGTGCCAGGGGACTTGAAAGGGCCTGCAGAGGCACCACTGGGAAGCTGTCCAGGCTGGAGGAAGTGGGCCCGGAGCTGCCGAAAGGCAGATGGATCCCAGGCCCAGCCTGTCCCTGTCAGCTCTAACTCTAACTTTTGGGTCTCCATTGGTGGGGAGGAAGCCAGGGCCTCATAGCAAGGCTGGATGCACATCAGCCCTTGGGGTGGCCAGCCCTGGGGGCCAGGAGGTCCCACACCAATAGAGGAGCAGTGATGTGTAGCAGTTGAGAGCATGACTCTGGAACGAGGCTCCTTGGTTTTGAATCCTGGCCCTGCAAGTTAGTGATGTGTGTGCCTCTGCTTCTCCTTCTGTGAGATGAGAGGAAGAATACTACCCATGTCATAGGGGTGATAGGGAATTAAATATATGTTAAGAGCTTAGAACTGTGCCTAATACGTGGAAATCACAGTAAACGTTAAGCCATTATCATCATCGTTCCCTTCCTCCCCATTTGGAAGCATCCTACTTGGAAGTTCTCACCTGCAAAGTGTCAGTCTGGACTTGACTCTGCAGTGACATAAATTTCACCACACACATCAGCTCTAAGCAGTCTGCCGGCAGTCCTTCTGGACTGGCTGGAGAGTGCGGTGATGGATTAGTGATGTCTGTCTGGGCCCAGGAAGGGAGAGTGGCAGCCAGAAGGCCCATCTCATGCCTTCATTGGGACATTTCATTTACTCAGCAGATCTTTATTGAGCTCCTCCTCCGTGCCAAGATGGGGCTAGGCCCCAGGATATAAAAGTGAGCAAAAAACAGATACAGCTTCCCATTGGTCAAGTCCAATGGGAAAGACTCTCATCAACTAGTCACAAAAGCGATGCCACTTTAGAGCTGTGCTGAGAAGGGGAGGTGGGTGCAGTACTGCTTTCAGAGGCCAGCCAGGCTCTTTTCAGCACTGCTTGTTGTGGGACCTTAGATAGCCTCTCAGCCCACCTGGGCCTCTGTCCCCATATCTGTGATGGGTACAATGACCCCTTTCCTGCCTGAACTGCTTAAGTTTCTTGAAATTTGCTTTTCTTTTATACCCCTGGCCTTTGCCTAGAATGCACCTGCCCATTGTCCTCTTTTGTGAGAATAACTATTCATCACTAAGTACTAGTTCAAATGTGCCTGCCTCTCTCTGCAGTAACTCCCACCTCTGTGCTGCCAGAGAAATGTGTAGTGCCTTCTGCTATGGCAGGGCACTGCCATTGTGCACAGGTCTGTCTGAGGTATCTTCCCTCCGTCTAGGAGCTCCTGGAGAGCACGACTGTGTCCGTGTCCTTGTCACTACCCAGAGGTGCCAGAGATTGCCTGGCCCATGGCACAGACTCAGTCCATAGGGGCTGAGGCAGGCTGGGAGCTAGACAAGGTAACCTTCTGACCTCTAAGAGGTTAGGCTCCTAGGATGCTTAGATCCAACTAGTATGCTAAGGTCAGAAGGCCTGGTCTTGTATGCCGGCTCTGCTACTTCCTAGCCGTGCTTGTCCAAGTTACTGAGCCATTCTGAGCCTTAGTATCTGTCTATAAAATGGGGAAACCTCAGAATCATGCTGCACAGAGAGAGAGTCCTAGCACACAGCATGTGGTCGGTAAAAGCCATTTCTCCCCTTTCCTTCCTTCCTAAGGTAGCACTCAGAGCCCTGCAGTGCCCAGATCAGGCATCAGGTCCTGAAAGAAAACACATGGGCAGCTCGAATTCAAAGCAGGGTTCAGAGAACCAAGACAGAAAGGAAGAAAGGAAGGTGGCACGTCTCCCTAAGCTGCCCCAGCTGGACTTGGTGCCCACAGGCTGTTCCATGAAGAGTGAGACCCATGGCTGACATGTGCCAGGCCACCCCAGGGTCCTGAGCTCTCTCCGCTTCCCTGCCTTGCTGGGAAGTGCTCCCATACTTCCTTCCCTTCAGCAGAGGCGCCCACCTCTTGGTGTTGCAGCCTGAGTGCCGATAATAAAGGCACCTCTGTGTGTCTCTGGGGAAGCGGGGCTGGGGCGGCGGCGAGGGGGGGCCCACAAAGCTCCCGCAGCTGTGTGTTTGCAAACAGGGGAGCTGAGCTGTGCAGAGGGGCTGAAAGCACTAATTGTCTTTAATTAAAGGAGGTTGAAGGCAGCGCAGGCTTTGACAAAAGAGATTTCCAGCCTGTTAGCAGCTTCAGCCTGTGCTGGGGCTGCGCCGCCCAGGCGAGGCCCTGGCTTTGTCCCTGTGGGGCCTGGCCCCTTGGAGGGCACGGCCAACACCTGCCTGTGGGGGTGGCGATGGGGGCCAAGAACAAGCAGTAGGACCATGCTGAGAGAGCTGGACTCCCGGGGTCTGGGAAGATGTCCTCTGGAGGAGCCCCCCTCTCTCTCATTCGTTCACTCACTCAGCAAGCATTGCTGAGCACTTGCTATGTGCCTGGCCCGTGCTCAGAATAGGAGGAACAGAGATGTAACAGCCACCGAGTTTCAAGGATTTCGAATTCTAAGAGGCTGCGTGGTACAGTGTGAGCACAGACTGGCAACAGCTGGCCTGGGTTTGAACCCTGGCTCTGCCTCTTACTAGCTGTATGACACCTCTCTGTGCCTCACTTTTCCCATCTCTAAAGGGGGATGATCAAAACGGCATACGCTTTGCAGGTTGTGTGAGGATTACTGAGGTATCATAAAATGTTTGCCTAGTGCACTTTATACACATCAACGCTCATGATTCGTGCCTTTGTTTACCAAATTCAGCACTTGGTTGGGGTCCCCAGAGGCACTCGAATGATGGGAAGAACATTGGTCTAGGGTTCTAGTCCCAGCTCTGCCATTCACTTGTTGGGTGGCTTCTCAGCATTGGTTTCCACCTGTACAGTTAGGGCTGGGCAGGGTGGTGTGTTGGGGAGAGCTCCGCAGGCATGGACATGGCAGTGCTCCCTCCAATGCCCTGGGAATTAAGACTCCTCTGAAGAGCCGCCTTGCTGGGCTCCTGCTCCTGCCGCATACAAATGGGCCCAGCCTCCCACCCGGCAGCTTCTTCAGCTCACTCCATTCTTTTGTCTTCTCTCTCACCAGGCTCAGCCTCCCAGATCCTCAGACACATCTGCAGCCCCCTAGAAAGGACATATGCACTGGCAAGCTCCCTTCCCCCCTCCTTCACATGCACACACACCTGCCTGATTCTTGCCCTCACCCCCACCCCCGCCACCTGATAGAATCTCAGTCTCTGTCCCCCTCCCACGCTCGAAGGCTTGCTGACCCCTAGGTCCAGGGTGGGCGGGAGGGAGGTTTGCTGCTCACAGCTGGCTGGACTGGGTGGTCGCAGGGAGGTGGAGGAAGGGGGCGGAGGGCGCAAGCGTCCTGGGGCCAGACTTCTCATGCAGTAGGAGGGGAGGTCAGCTCCAGAAAGGGAAGGCCCAAGTCGGGCCGTGGGGGGAGGGGCAGGTATGAAACTTCCACCATAAGGAGCACTGAGGAAGGTTGGGAGACACTTACCCAATGCCCACTCTGGGCTGCAGCCCCTCGTGTAATCTATTCAAAGGCTCTGATGAGGAAACAGAGGCTCAGAGATGATGGGTGTGGCTCTAGGACACAGAAATGGGGTAATGCCACACCAGAGGACCACTCTGGCCCTTCAGAACCCATATTCTGAAGTCCGTTCATTCGGAACAAGTCAGGCCCCCTATGGCCAGCGTGGGACAGAGATGACAGGTGGATGATGTGGACTCTGGAGGAGGCAGGGTGGCTCATCCCATACCTGCTGGGGATGCCAATCCAAACCTGCATGACTCTAGCCCTGGCGGAAGGGAGAGGGGCAGACCACAAGTGCTTAAGATCTCCTAGATTGACAAACTGTAAGCTGACCAGGCCTTAGGCCGAATCCCCAGCTATGGCTCCCGCTGAGGCCTAGCCCCAGCATTGCTGGAGGACGGAGGCCCTCCAAAGCCTCCCGAGGCCGACCTCTTCCCCATGACTCCTGACCCCTGGCACCTCAGTCTGCCCTCATGTACTGACTTCTGTGGCCAAAAGGCTCTGATCATGGCTCTATAGCTCCCCAGAGCCCGAGGGAGTGGATACTCGCAGTCATCGGCCTTCCACTGGGCTGTGGGTCCTCTGAGGTCAGAGCCCACATCTTCTGTCACCCACATCCACCCCTAGGCACTGACTGTGTGTCAGACAGAACATCGGGCACTCTGCCCGCTTTAGCTCACCTGAACCTAACACAGCCCTTTCAGGCCAACTCTCCTGTCCCCATTTTACAGATGAGGAAATGGAGACTCAGAGGTGGAGGTGCATGCTCATGGCGTGGAGGGCACCTGAACCAGGGCTGTGTGGATCCAGAGCTTTGCTGGCTTCAACCCAGGCCTCACCCGGGCTCCATGTGGGGACGGGGCTGCTCAGTACAAGTGTGTATAGCAATTAAACTGGCAACAAGGAGAGTGTCTCAGCCTGGTGGACGAGTCCACTGGTTGGCCGGTGAGGAGACTGAGGCGGCTGCCCTGGTGTGCATCCTTGCCCCCTGAGAGAGAAGGTGGGAGCTGCTTTTGGACTCCTGAGTGTCTGGGCTGAGGAGCCCACAACTCGCCAAGGACCTGAAGGAAGAATGTGGGGAAGGGCAAGGATAAGGGGTAGTGGGGAGAGAGAGAGAGAAAGAGAGCTGGAGACATTCTGGGAGAGAGGGACACAGAGGGGGCAGGTGGATGGAGGTTCCGAGAGGGCAGACGGTCAGACGACAGTCAGACAGCACAGGATGAAGGGCAGTCAGACGGGAATGAGACCAGAGGCCAGATCAAGGTAGAGACACCAAGAGACATGAAAAGGAAAGAGAACACAGAGGGAGGAGGGGAGGGAGAGACAAAAGGAGAGAGCGGGGAAGAGGAAGAAACTGGGAAGGGGAGGCGGAGTCAAGTTCAGAGGGAGTGGAGGGGCGGGCAGGGGTGTGCAGGCAGCAGCGGGAGAGTTGGCAGGTCCAGGGCTGAGCCTAGAGAGGCCTCTGCCTGGAAGGGGTCCCAGCTCAGAGCAGGGGGAGTCGGGGTAGGGAGCTGGGGAATGGAGGCTGGAAAGATGGGGAGCTCGGGGAGATGGTGAGGTCCCTCGAGGGGGCTGTCCTGTGAGTGCTGTCCTAGCCTTAGGCACCAGCTGTGAGGGAGGGTGTGAAAGCGAGTGGCTCTGTGTGACTATGCATGTGTGTCAGGGTGTGAGCGTGTGTTTTCAGGTCCAGGCAGGTGTGGGAAGCAGACTGGGTGTCTTTCCTTGCTCTCTTGGGTCCACACACCCTTCTCATTTGTATTCATGAGAACTGAGCTGAAACATTAATTCATATTTAATATGGCCTTCACTGGCAGGATAGAGGTTGGTGCCAGTTTGTTATTTAAAAAAAAAAAAAAGACACCAGGTAAGAAAGAATTGGTCGATGGATGGATGCACTGAGTTTAACCATCCATCCAGCCATCTAGCCACCATTCACCCACTGAGCACCTATGTGCCAGGCACCATGCTTGGCAGGAATACCAAAAACACAAACCTAATAAACTCACATTGGCATTGGCCGTGGCAGCCTGGAGGGGTGGGCAAGGTCTATGGGCTCCTGAGTTTAAATGCTCATTCTGTAAATTAACATGTTCTGTGAGTCTGGGCAAGCCCCTTTGCCTCTCTGAACTGTTCTCTCACTTGTAAAATGGGGTGGCGGTTCCTGCTGGCTGGGCTTGGTGTGGGGTTTCGGGAGATAGTACGTGTGGTACAGAAATGCTGGGTCTCCAATGTGCGCTCTCAGGCACTGTGGCCTCCTAACCACCATTGTTGGCCAGGAACCACCCTGGGATTCTCCTGGCTCTCCAACCCCATCTCTCTGGTGATTCTTCCTAAAGATGCTGAGCATCCAAAGGCTGTCAATTCTGCCAGGCCCAGGAGGTGGCCACAGCTGTGCAGCCCCGCTGGGGTACTGTGGTGGGAGGTGGGTCAGCCCTGCCCAACCCAGGCAGCTGTGGAATGAGGATGGGATAGGGGCGGGCAGGTGCTCTGCCCCTGGAAGCCCCATACCTGCCCTGCCTCTCAGGCCTGAATATCTCAGGCCTCCTCAAGCTGTTTTTGCTTGTCCACCAGGTCTCAGCTCAGGTGCCCCTTCTTCTGGAAAGTCCTCTAGGACTCCCATCCACACCCCCTAGTCCCCCTGTGGGTCCACACAGTCCCTAGCTCCCCAGTTCACACACCCCTCCCTCTGTGCATCAGGGTCTCCTGTCCCTCTTCACTGTGAGTTCCTGGATCAGAGGCCACTTCAGATACTCCCTTGTGCTTGGGCCAAGCGTGAGGCCTGGCACACCGTAAGTTCCAACCATTTCCAGAGGGGTATATGCTGTGCAGACCATATTTTACCTGGTGCTCTTGGGGACAGAAAGAGGCTGCTGCTTTCCCTGAGGGCCAAAATTCACTTCTTCAGATTCCACATCTCTCCTTGGGGAGGGGGCTTTGTGGACTCTCCTTACTCAGGAGGTCAGGGGTGGAGTCAGGGTGATCTGGGGTATAAGGAGAGGGAATGAGACATCCTAGCTCTGCTGGGGGCTGCCTTACATTTTTGGGAGCCTCAGTTTCCTTAGCTGTAAACCAGGAGGGTAAATTTGTGATGATGGGTGAAAAAGGGCATGCTCTTGTCCTTAGCCTGGTGGCCGTGCCAAGAAGAGGCTTGTGGTGGGTGGTTCTTTAGACATTATCTCTAAGAGGCTGCCCGCTCCCCATATGTAAAGTGTTTTGCAGATGAAGATTCAAGATAATAGCCCTCCACATCCCCCTGCACTCAAATCAACCCCTCAAAGCCCTTCCGAGGTAGAAATTCTGATACTGCCCCCAGAGTAGGCAGACATGAGATGAGTTTGGCTGTCACCTCTCCTTCATTCTAGCTTTGGGCCTTAACCCTCCCAGCCTCAAATGGGGAACCAAATAACTCAACTAGGCCATCATTTCCCAAACACTCCTACAGGCCAGGGTGGCCCACTCCTTGCCAAGGCCAGCCTGCCTCCCACCCCCCTCTCCCCTCTTCCCCAAGCTGGATGCTGAGCTGAGCTGGAGGCAGGGGGCCCCTCTACTCTCCCCCAGGACGTGACATTCACCGGCATCACTTCTGGTCCCATCTGCAGTGTGCTTCCCCACCCCCCACCCTAGGCAGCTAATCCCCACAAAGCCCAGCGCAGGGCCCGGCATGACAAGCAGGCACTGCATCGTCTGCAGCTCCACCAGGCGTGCTCGGAGGGGCTGAGGCGGGATTCGGAGCGCCTGTCACTCTCTCTGTCCGCTCCTCTAATTGGATTCCCAACACGCAGAGGTCAGCAGAAACGCTGGGGAGAGGAGAATCAAAGGGAAGGGGCGTCTAGCAGATAAAGAGAGGCATTCTTCCTGGGCTACAAAGACTGCAGCATGCGGGGTGGGAGGGGACCCTGGTGAGGGGCTGCCCATCTGGAGGGGGACGGGGCAGGGAGAGTGTAAGCAGGTGGCAGAGGCTGAAGGGCCTGCTTTCCTCCAGCCTGGTGCTTGCTGATCTCTGTTCACATGGTGCCTTGGGCTTGTGCACCATTCTGCCTCCTGTGGGGTCTGGGCATCCTTCAGGGCCTGGCCCCTTACTCCTTTCTGCTCTAGGAAGCGTTCTTGGGATGTAGCCGGAAGGCTCAGGAATCACCTGGGCCTGGGTCTCAATCCTGGCTCGCCACCTGCTGTCCCCTGTGAGGCTCGGGCAAGTCCCTGCGTTCTTCTGGCCTCAGTTTCCTGCTCTAGGGGAAGAGGATAACACCACCTGCCACAGAGGGCAGTGGCCAGGATGAAACGAGGTGATGTTAGCCAAGAGCTTGTGGCACAGGGCCAGCGCACAATAGGGGCACACAGCTCACATGTGTCCCTTCCCTTCCTCCTAGAAGCACCACAGCTCCTCTGCAGGCCTGTCCATGGCTGGCCCTGCTCTGGGGTATGGTGTAGACAGAAGCCTGTCTCCACAGGAAGAGGCGAAAGTACTCTGTAAACATAACACCTGGACAGATGTGAGGGGAATGACAATCCCCAGCCTGGGTAGGGCTTTGCCATCACATTTTCACCAACTGGTCCACTCTGGCAGACAAGAAAACAGAGGCTCTAGGAAGTGAAGGGAAAGGCCCAAGGCCACGTGAATAGAAAGCAGTGGAGCCTGGACAAGGAACCTGACCTCAGCCCAGCGCTCCCATTGTACCCCTCCAGGGCTCCCCATGCTCTCCTGTGAATGATAAGCAGATTCTGTATGTACATGTTGTGCACACAACCAGCAGGGGAGGTGGGTGGGGCAGGGCCGCAGCCTCACTGTAAACCGGGCCCCGTTTGCCTGAAGAAAATTGGAACCACTGACTGCTTCATGAAAGACATGAAGAGGACCTCAAAGGGAATTTCTAACAGACAGCGAATCAATGGCCCTGACACCCTGCCCCCCAGAAAGCCTGTGTGTATGTGTGTATCCGACACATGTACACATGCACACACTCTACTAACTGATCTAGTGCACACATACACGCTCACAAACACCCATTTTTAAGTGCATAGACATCCGGCTCGATACAATATACACACGTACCCACAAATACATACACTCCGGCTTGATCTCCTTGTTATGGGTGTGCACACAAGCACACAAACACCTACTTGACCCAGGTCACGCATACCCAAGGACACAGACAGGGACACCCCCAAGGGTAGATGCACTTGGTTTGGTGTGACACACATGATCTTTTACATGTACCAGTCTGACTGATCCAGCACAAGTCTGAGCATGCTCCTCCCTACACACACGTGTGCTGGGGCATGTCAGACAAACACAGGAACACATGAGTACAGGGACAGCAACGACTTGCAGCAGGCTCCAGGGTGACTTGCGTGGGCAAGGGCGTGGGCACGCCCCATCCCTGAAACGCACACACACGTTCATATATCCAGAGGTATCTCAGTTGCATTTGTGATGTTGGGTCAGTTGGCAAACTTGTGCGAGGCTAGTGCACATGAACATGCATGTGTGCTGGGGATGCTCTGCACTGACCTAGTACACGCGTGCATGCACATCCCTCTCGGGCCTCCAGGGAGCTCCCATAGACAGACAGCTCTGACAGCAGAGTGTGGGGGGAGGGCAGCCCAGGGCTGGGGTTGCCAGGGATACGGATGCGGGGATCCCAAAGCTGCAGAGCCCGCCCAAGCAGCGCAAAAAGGCCAGCGACCACTCTTAGGTCTTTAAAATGTTGCTAATCAGATGGAGGCGCCTTTAAGGGTAGAGTCTGGTTTCTTGGAAGGAGCCAGAATAACATGAGGCCCTCAGCCCAGAATTTGCTGGGGTTACAGAGACAAAGGTGGAAATTAGCTCTGACTGGTCCCCAAGCCCCGCCTAGCCTTTCCCCCATGCTCTACCAGACAACAGAGGTTATGGGCCCTTACTTGCTCTGTGGCCTAGAGCAAGTCATTTACTCTCTCTGAACCTCTGTTTCCTCATCTGCAAAAGGGGAGGGTAACAACCCTGAGCATTTAGATAGCAATTACCAGACTATGAATAGCACTGACCACATGCCATGTGCTGGGTGCTAGGTGCTATACCCAAAGCCTTACCTTCCTTATCTCATTGAGTTCCATATTCTATTTATTATTACACCCATTTTATAGATGAGGAGATCAAGGCTTCAAGAAGTGAGTCGCCTATCCAAGTTCACATAGGTAGTAAATGTCAGAACCAGGATTTGAACCTAGGCAGCTGGCTCTTACCTCACTAAACCTTCCTGTCCGATGGCATCTGGGGAGTGGCAGCAAATGTGGGAGTCATTATCCTCATGCCAGATAGTTACAGATGCCTACTGGCCTCATGATGGGGCACCATGAGGAAGAGGCAGAACAAAAACAGAGGCTGTTAGTGCCTAAGGGTCAATCTACAGACGGTAACACTGAGCTCCAGGGGCAGAGGGGGCAGGGGAGGTCGTCTGCCAGGATTCCATGGCAAGGGGGTGCAGAGCCCAAATTTGGACCCAGGCACCCTGACTCTGAGTGTCTGCTATGATGCTCAACAAAAGCACCCTGTCTGGTTAAAACAATGCCATTCTACAAGCATGCATTAGGCGCCTGCTGTGTGCCCAGGCCACATGGCCCTGTTCTCCGGGAGCTTTTCAGGGCACTGGGCTAATGCTCCCCCTGCCCCAAGAAATATTCTTTCCTGGAGCAGGAGCACCCCCTCCCCTCCCATCCTTCTCTTCCTATCTTCTGAGCTCTCTGAACTCCTCTGAGCCTCCCCCAAGCCCTCTGAAGATGGGACTGCCAGCCCCATTTAATAAGAGGAAACTGAGGCTCAGAGAAAGGACCTAACCGAGTAAGTCA